ATTTGAAAAGTGAAAAAATAGTTAAAAAATTAAGATTGAAAGTTGAAATATATAAATTAATTGATTGAATTGAAAGTATTTATTAAAACTAGTCATTGAACTAGATGATAAATGTTAAATAACAAATAAGAACGTTATTAATTTGTAGTTCAGATTTAAAAATTGATAATTATATATTTTTAAATAATTATAATTTTTTTATCTTAAATATTTCATTAAATAAAATAAGACAATATGAATTGATATATATTATTATTTTAATATTTTTATAACATAAAAATAAGATTTAATAAAATTGTTATATTTTAATAAAATTAGAAAATAAAAGAGATAAAAGTAGTTAGATTTCAAAAAATTAAAAGAATAAAGAGATAAATTATTAATGAGTACAAAAAAAAAACTTTCAATTAGTAACTGAAAAGTAGTGTTAGAAATACTTTCAGTTAGTTGAAATACCTTTCTAAAACACACTTTTATTGATAATATGACTAATTAAAAAGCTGTTATATGACAATTTTACATCATATGTTAATATTTTGTTACACCATATCAATAAAAAAATTAAACGTGCTAAATGTAAAATAAAAATAAATCAAAATATTAAAAACAATTAAGAATAAAAGCACATTTTACCCTTTTCTAATTTACAGGTTTTGAAACCAATGATTGATACAAAACTAATCATTATAGCTTCACTCTTTATGTTTAGACGTGTCTCATCATCAAATAAACATACTAAGAGCATGTTTATCTCTCCAACGGCAGTTCATCTCTCTTTACTTAGAAGTATAATAATAAATGTAATTAACAACACTTTTCTATTAAAAGAATTTTTTATTGTAAGTAATAATATCTCCGCTTTACCAAAAAAATTATAGTTTTGATACTTTGCAATAAACTTATCTAAGTATTTATTTATTTAAAATTTCTATACAAACAATTTTAAATCATTAAATATATTTTGTTGTAACTAAAATTTATTTATTTAACAATTTTATGTTAAAATAAATGTTAAATTATTTAAAATACAAATTATTTTTTTCTTATTTCTAAACCATAGGAACAAAAAAAAAAAGATAAGATTTTAGTTTACCTCAGAAATGAGAAAATGGGACCCATGGGTACCACAAGGGAAGGTGGGACCCACATATTGAGTCGTTGCTTTGCTCCCCTCGCATCTCCAAGGCAGATAACGGACTTATTCATTCGTACGTGCGCCGATCTCTAACACGTGCGCCTTTATTATGTCTCCAATTTTGTTAGGGTGTAAAAAAAAAAAGTTTTTGAAGGAAAATGATGAAAAATAAACAAATGACCTTTAATAAAAAAAATTATGTTATTTTAAAAAAATTAACCATAAATTTGTGATTTTGAATCTCAGCAAAAATGTCAATTACAATTTCACGAATAAATATTTTTATTATCTCAATATTTGAGAAGGTTTGGACATCAAATTCTAACTAAACTTGAAAACAATTAAGTTTTGTTACTAGTTAAAATATTTTTAATCGTATAAATTTTTAACATTTTTTATATTTAATTAAGTGTTCAGTTCCTATAAAAGTTACATAATTTACATTTAATCTTTATAAAATATTTTGTTAAGATATAATCCTTATTTTTTCATGAACTATTATTTTTAGTTCATAGTTCATCTAGTTAATGTGATCTATTAAGATATTGCTAATTACTAGCTTTTGGTGGGACTATATCAGCTAAATAAACTAAAAATAATATTTTTTGTGAAAAAACTATATTTTAATAAAATATTTTATAAAAATTAGATTTAAATTATATAAATTTTATAGAGATTAAACACTTAATTAACTCTGTAATTTAAATAATATATAACAAATTAAAAATTATCCTTTACATATTTTAACTAAAAATTTACAATCATAGGTAGAGAGAAACCTTGACTCAAAATTTACAATCACAACTTTTGACGAAGATGTTGAATCATAGGCTCCCAAATAAAAACTTTTTTTAAAACAAAAAATTATCTTTCAACGTAACCACTATTCATTAATTAAATTTAAATTTCCCAACAATCAAGTCCTCCAACTAGTTAAAGAACCTTTAATATTGCATAAATTTTGAAATAAAAATCTAGGTAATTTGTCTTTATTAGTTTAATAATATTCTTTGATCTTACTAAAATGGTTAGGCAAACATGTTCCACAAGTAACTTTGAACATAAACAATTACTAATAAAAATGCTCTACTATAATTTTACTAATAAATACTTCTTTCATATGCTTTTTGGTAAAGATTCATGAAATCAGGTTCCAACTTAAGAGGCAAAGCTATATCTTAAATATTATGCATTATACACCGTATCAGAAATTATTTTATTAATTCTTCAACATATAAGAAATCCATAGCCCATCAACACCAACGGTTGCCCAATAGAAAGAAATATATTCCTTCTTATAATCACCATCTATTGAGAAGTCAATTTTGTATTAATATAATGTTTTTTTCACTTGATTTATATTTGAACCAAACACATAGTAAGTCCAAAATACACAATATTGAGAAAGAAAGAAAAGGGTGCATGTCTCTGTATTTTAGCACCTGGCCAGTGAAAATTGTGTCTTATCTGTGTTGTAGGCCCTGAGTGGTGCTCCCCGAACACTAATTAAAGGTACTATGGTTGGTGGGAGTGAAGACATACAAAAAAAACTCTGGCCACGTTCTCAAAGGGTTCATTTGTGGCAGAACTGAAGTGCTCCTTTCTCCTTCCCAATTCACAATCCAAGAGAAAGTTTTGTATACTACATTACTCTTTTCCATCTCTTCAACTCTTTTTTTCTTACTATAAACTTTGTATATTACATGCCCAATCTTTCATTATTAAGGCAGTAAAGATCAAACACCCCCCCCCATTCCATTTATTCCCTTTCTTCCTAGTCACTAGTCATAACTTTTATTGTCACTTTTTTGGTTTCCTTTATTTCAATTCGCTTCATATTCCAAATTAATTATACAATGCTTATTATTTTATTGTTAAAAGTTTTGTGGATTTCACTATAGTTAAATTTTCAAGTCTGAGAAAACAATTTTATTAGCACATATTTAAATATTTTATTTTATTTTGAAACATTTAGCTACAAATTCCTCCTCTCTCAGACATTTTCTACAGTGAATTTAAAATTTATGTTAAGTTTCGGAAGCTTGCTTTTAACCTTGATGATAATATATGTATTGTTAATTACAAAAGAGATATTAGGATGGTTTAGGAAGAAGAGGGTATACTAATTGAATCCCATTATCACAAGTGGAATTCCATTATACACAACAAAGGCTCTTCTCCATAATTGAATCCCTGACCAATGTAGGAAAAAAGTTGCATTAATTGAACCCAGTTCCTGAACTTTCATTAATGAAACCCACATGACCGTGGCAAAAAGAGGGTAGGATAAAAATCATGTTTCACACTTTTATGTTTTTTGGGGTTAACTTTTGAGGGGCAGAACAAAAACAAAAGTTGGCACCACTTTGACTAATACTAATTCACTTTTATCAAAGCCCACATTATGTCTTTTTAAAAGGTATTCTTAGTTCAAAAATAAATTAATTTTGATACATGATTCTTTTTACTTTATCACCTAATTTTACATTTATATCAATAAATTTAAAATATTAACAATATGTTAATAAATACATTAACATCTATATATTTGATATATTATATAACCATAAATAATAAGGAAATAAACTTAAATTTAAATTTGATTTTTTTTCATTTTATTCTTATTTTCAATATAGAAAAATAATTTTTATATAATCTCTCTATTAGTAATTCATTATTTTTTTTTGAAATAAACTTATATAACATCAACCTTAACTCATATAATATAACATAAAATTGATATATTATATAACCATAAATATTTAGGTAACAAAATAAAATTAAAATTTTAAAAATGTAAATTTGTTTCATTTTATTCTTATTTTCAATTTAAAATTATTTTTTTATATAATCTCTCTATTAGTAATTCAATATTTTTTTTAAATAAACTTATATAACATCACACTTAACTCATATAATACAACATAAAATTGATATAGATAATGATGTGATATTTATATTTTTTATATTTTAAAATTTTAATTTTAAAAACTCTAAATTTATAGACTAAAGTTTATCCAAAAACATTAAAAATACATTATTAATAATATGTTATATGTTAGTCGTATTATATAAGACAACTCAGACATAATTAAGTAAATTATAAATTAATAAATTTTTTTATCAAAAGACTAATTTAAAATTATAAAAATAAATCAAACAAAATATTAGATATCCTTTAAAAATTAAAATATTAGATAAAATATAACTTTTAATATTCAAATATATTTTTTTATCTTCATATTTTATTAATTTTTTAATTTTAGTTTCTTCAAATAATTTTTTTTAATAAATTTTTGTTTTTAATTCTTAACGATAATTTAATTCATTAAAATATTGTTATGTATTAATTTTTTGTTTGATCACATTAGCATTAATGATTAAAAAAAAGTAAAGGCTAAAATAATTATTTTAAGAAACTAAAATAAAAATTTTGATAAAATATTAGGAACAAATTATCAAATTAACTTCTATACAAATCTATAAAGAGAAATAGGAAAATTCACCGACCCTCACATTTAACGGAAAGTAACCAACTTTTCTAAATTCAGAAAAGAACAGAGAAAAAAAAAAACTCATTATAGATTCAGGCTCCACAAGTGTGAAGCCCTCACAAATTCACACCCACTCCTCACTTCACCACTGTTCACTGCCAGCAGCAAGGAAGAAAGGAAGAGAAAGTGAGGGAAAAAAGGGTTTGGAGTAGTGGTGGTGCCATGTTGTTAAACCCATTTCTCTCTTTCTCTCTCTATAAAAATCTAATAAACACTATGATCGTGAATTTGATCCGCAAATTTGGCTAATCAAGTGCCTCCTCAACGTGTACTCAACCCCAAATCCACGCTCTTATAATTCACCCTTTTTTTTTCTTCTTCTTCCTTTCTCACATTCCCATTTTCCCGACCAATTTTCCGGCACAGATCTTTTCCGATCTCTGATCACACTCCGGCTCCGAACCCATTTCCCAAACCCACTAAATGTGCTAACTTTACTAATTTCTCACCGACCTACAAACTTATTTATCATTGTTCACTCGAATCTGCTTCAAAGTTGTCTTCTTTTGGGTGTTTGGAGAGTACCCATTTGGTTTTTTGTGAGAAATGACGTCAGGGACGAGGCTACCAACGTGGAAGGAGAGAGAAAACAACAAGAGAAGAGAGAGAAGAAGAAGAGCCATAGCAGCAAAGATCTTTGCGGGTCTGAGAATGTACGGGAATTTCAAGCTTCCGAAGCACTGTGACAACAATGAAGTGCTTAAGGCTCTATGCAACGAAGCTGGGTGGACTGTTGAACCTGATGGAACCACTTACCGAAAGGTATATTCTTTTTTTTTTTTTTCCTTTTTTCACTCCCAATTTTTTCTACTCTTTAATTTAAGTAATTTTCTGAAGTGACAATTAAAAAAAAAAACCTCTAGTTAAACGCTTTGCTAATTAAGTCATAAAGTGTTTCTTTTATTTCCGTTTTTTTTATGTTATACGTGAAGTGCATAGTTTTGGGAGATTAAATGGATTGTCTTGAGTATTTTTAAGATCCTATTAACAAGATGTTTAAAAAAGCATGTTGATTAGCACCAAGAACATTAGAAAAGGATACTGAGAGAGGAATATATAAATAAAGTTTTATTAAAAAATTATATTGATAATATTAAATATAATATTTTTATTTCTTAATCTATTAAAATTTATTTACCTTCTCTTATATGTTTTACTAATATATTAAATAGTTCTGTTTTGTAACGCAATAAATAAATTTTAAAAAATAAACATTGAATACTTTTGTTTTTGTTTAATGAAAGAATAATTATTTCCGATCATGTGATTACACATCAATGACATTAATCATTCTACAACATAATTAAGATGAATTGTTATCAACTTATCAGGAAAGCATGTTGATAGTCCATATGCAAAATTTTTTGGATACAATATTAATATAAAAACCTGAATAATAACTATTATACAACAATATATAATTTATCATTTATTTTGATCTTGAATGCCTCATACATTCATCGTTAATAAATTTTATTTACTTATAAAAAATGTAACAATTATAATTAAATGAATTAAATTTGTTATATATTCCTTGGCTTCGTACGGTGGATCAGGTAGGCACTGGTCATGGCAACAGGGGGAGGCATCACAGATTTTCTCTCTCTTTCTTGACTGATGGGTAACCTGAGAAACCAGGAATCTTTTTAGGGACGAAAATGCCCCCAATGGGTGCTTGCCCCAAATAATTGCATGGACCTTGCCATTTGGGCAAATGGGAAGGGCATTTTTGCCATCTTTGGTTAACTGTGGTTGTTGTGTTTGTTGTTTTGCTTTGTGCTATGTCTGTGTTGTTGTGAGGCACAGTAGCATTAGCTTTTTGACTTTTTCAGACAGCGTGGCCACGTAGGATTCCATTTTGTTGAGTCTTTTGCCTCCGTTTTCCTCATGATTGACCCTTCTTTTGTGGCGAGGTACTTTAAAGCTACTGTTCATATTCTTTTCCTTCTCCTGAACGAGAGAGACGTGTCTCTGATGTTTGCATATCATAATTAGTATCCAATGTTATTCATTTTTCTCTGTAATTAACTTACTAAAAATGTCTTTAAATGTAAGTTTTGTGTGGTGAAATGGACCTTTTGAAAAACAAACTTGAGTGGCAAATTCTTGTACTATTATTGAAAAAAATAACAACAATTCTTATATAATAAATGTATTTCTTTTAAAAAAACATATTACTTTTTGTTATTTATACTCAATCCCTGAAGACTTAGATTAGAAAGCATTTTTCTTGTAATTGTAAAATGTAACTCTTGACATTACAAATTTAAGGGTACGTTTGATTGGATTAATAAAAAAATTAAAATGAAAATTACTTAGCATGAAGAAGTCTGAAAATGTTAAGAAGTTTCAAGCAACTCATATTCCCTCCAAACCTCAAATTTGGCCACTCCTATGACATGAAAATGAATTGAAAATGTTTTTTTTAAACTCCTCTAACTAAACAATGAGTAAAAATCATAATCATTTTTCCTACTCCACCTTTAAGCCCTTGGTTTTCATCTTCTCCTTTTCCATCTATTAAAAGAAGCACTGCCTAAGTTTAATATAGATTAATTGTTGCAGTGCCTTGAGCAACAAGGAAGTCAGAGCATTTGGTTCTCAATTTTAGGCTTGGTAAATGCAATGCGAGAAAGTTTAGATTCTATGCAGTAAATTAACCACTTTGTCTAATGCTTGTTTGTATGCAACCAAATTTTATTGCAGAACCACAATCAGTGAATAACTACACAATTCACCTTTCCATCAGTGATATTTGGTGCATTGGCTTGACACTTTCACCTTTTCTCCATGCATTTGCTTGAAATAGTTTGAACGTGCTATCATATATTCAACTGCTCATTCATTTCCGTAGCCATTATATTACTAACAGCATGTTCGGTTCAACTTATTTTGGAAAAATAATCACTTATATCTTTCAACTTTCTAATAGAGCTGTTGAAAAAATAAGCAATTATTTTCTGTAGAATTAAGATGAACCAAGCATGGTATAAGGTCTTGACTAGTTATGCTACATTGGTTGGATTTCACAGTAACATCATAGACTGAGAACATGCAGAGTTGAATAACTCATACTTTTACTTAATTACAAACATGTTATCATTGCTTGATTATGTAATTGTTATTTGTTCTGGTCATACAAATCCTATCCTATCTATATACCTTTACCCTACTTAGTGTTTCTGGATTTACATTTGATCAGTCATGAGTTCACGCTCATTCCAACGCTACTAGTAGTATCTTTTGCGTTAACATGATTTTAAAGCATGATCGAACACAGTTCCAAACATGCTATTAGTAGTTTCCCACATGCTACATTATAATCAGTTAATGAAAATATCTTTGTCCAATCAGGGATGCAAGCCTTTGGAGCGCATGGACATAGTTGGTGGATCAGCAGCAGCAAGCCCTTGCTCATCTTACCATCCAAGTCCTTGTGCTTCCTACAATCCAAGCCCTGGTTCATCCTCCTTCCCAAGTCCATCCTCATCCCCTTACACCACAAATCCGAATGCTGATGGTAATTCCCTCATTCCGTGGCTCAAAAACCTCTCCACTGCCTCATCTTCAGCATCATCTCCCAAGCTTCCCCATCTCTACCTACACAGTGGCTCGATCAGCGCTCCTGTCACGCCTCCACTGAGCTCTCCAACCGCTAGAACGCCACGAATCAATGCTGACTGGGACGATCAGTCTGCGCGGCCGGGGTGGATTGGACAACACTACTCATTCCTACCATCTTCTAGTCCTCCTAGCCCTGGCCGCCAAGTTGTTGACCCTGAATGGTTTGCTGGCATCAAACTTCCTCATGTTAGTCCAAATTCACCAACATTCACCCTTGTTTCTTCAAACCCTTTTGCCTTCAAGGATGATGGTTTGGCTGGTAGCGGTTCACGCATGTGGACTCCTGGTCAGAGGGGAACATGCTCTCCTGCTGTTGCACCCGGTTGTGATCACACTGCTGATATTCCAATGTCTGAAGCTGTTTCAGATGAATTTGCATTTGGAAGCAACACATTGGGGCTTGTGAAGCCATGGGAAGGAGAAAGGATCCATGAAGAATTTGTATCAGATGATCTTGAACTCACTCTTGGTAACTCAAAGACCAGGTAGGAGTACTAATTAAGCATTGTTATATGATCCATTGAATTCTTCTAAATTGTTTTTCACCCTTTTATAACACTGTTTTCCTTTTATTTTGGCAGATGAAATCTTTATAATTGAATGTGATTATGTGAACATTGACATCTGATGGTTATGTTCCATAGAATTGTCAGAAAGTAATTGAGATGAGTGCAAGCAGTTGGTTTCTTTTATCCTTTTTTTTTTTGTTTTAATTTTATGGTGATTTTCCTTTTTCATTTTATTAGTTCTCAAGTAATACACATGTTTAGCTAGGTGTGGGGTGGATTTGCAACCCTTTCATTTCATCATTGTAAGTCTTGTTAAACCTTATTATTGTATACATTGTATGGATTGGCTTGGTTTGCCACTCAAAAGAACCAAATGGCTCCACAGTGCAACCTAACTCAATGATTCCCGAAAGAGGTTGTTTAAATTTGATTTAATGGTTCCTTTTTATTGGCTTTCGATTATTGAATGAAATTTAAATTGATCGACTCCGTCATTAATTAAAAAATACTAAATAAAATTAACTACAACAATGTAATAAGTAATTCTATATTTCTGAAAATTGAAAATAAAAATATAATAACTATAATAAATTATTTCAAAATAAGCTTTCCAATTATATGTATTCTTTACAGCAACCCCTGTCTATATTCATACTTTTTTGCCTTTTCTTTTACATAGGAATGAAAGACGATCTTGATATTTAAATCCCGTGAAATCCTAATGAAACTCAAATCTGTACCGCAAAAGAAAGGGAAAAGAAGAAACGCTAAGCATCATTCTCAATTTTTTTTTTTCCCCTTACATTTATCAATACACATTAGAACTATTATTGTTAATATAATTTGAATTGTGATTAATTTCACTTCATGTTCTTTATAGCTACGTTTAATTCACTCAACAAACAAGGTGTGAAGATATGTCTTTTCAGGAGTATATGTTACTAATATTTTCAAGGAAAAAAAAGGTTATGGTTGGATAATTGATGTGACAAGCATTCTTGGGGTTTTAACTGAGACAGGTGTTGAGACAATGAGAAATAAAAAAGAACCAGCAGGTGCAGTATTGTCAAAAAGTAACAAAGATTCCTTCCATTTTTATTTTATGAAATGTTGATAGATACACATTGCTTACATCACTCTCCTTCACATTATCCAAGTAGTAGTATTTGACTGTAATGGTCCCCTCGCTCATGTGCCTGCAACAAATAACAGTAACGATTAGTGAATTAAAAAATAAATACTAATATTTAAAATGTTATATTTTTTTTATAAAAAAAATATTATTTTTTATTATTTAATTTTTATTTTAAGATATTGAGTATAAAATTTTAATAATGATGATATTATTATTATTATTATTTTAATAAAATTAAATGGTAATAAATGATATATTATATTAACATTTTATGTATTAATAATATATATTAATTTTTATATACAAAAAGTTGTCTGTTGTATGGTGTATCATGATACTGTTAATATTAACTTTTAATGTTTATAATAACAATTTAATTTCTATTATATAAATAAATTTTATATCAATGGAGATTAATCCAAACGCAAAATAATTAGTATATTGCATGTCTTTGTGGTGCTTTATTTCAAAAGAGATTGACTCACCTTCTACCTAACACCTCGAACTTCTCACATGTTGGAACCCTTCAAATTTGTAATAGTGTAAAGATTTTTGCTGACAGCAGTTGCCTAGAGCTCACGAAACTTCTAACATTTGATGGGGAAAATTCGTCTCGTGCTTTGTTGGGATAGGAAACATACTCGTGGCTCAGATCCTAGACATTAGAAAAGGATTTTCCTTAGCTTGGGAGATTGGTTAAGAGTTGATTATGAATTTGATTTTCAAAAACATGATTATAGACATCCCAACAGTGTATCTACTAATTACTTATCTGATACTTTTCATCTTTCCTCATGTTACGTTCATCACATTATTTGTCATATTTATCACCTTTTTCTCTCATTTTTTTTTTAATCTCCCTGTGGGTGTATACAAAACGTTATTCTTTGATTTTTTTAGGCTGTTAGATGAGATAATCTTTATGTTTTCCCAAGTTTCAAGCTTATGCTACTATCATTGCTGACATTTGCTCCTTAAAGCAGTGTTCTTGAAAGTTTGGAAAGAGTCTAGATTTGTCACAATTTGAGGGGAAATTAGAGCTAAATGTCTCGAAAGAGAATAGTGTCTTGCACTTAATTATGCTGATCTCTTTTGTTTTTATGTTGTTTAATTGTATTTCGCAAGTCACCAACAAACAACTTTGCCTCTTCTTTTCTACCAATTTTTATGAGAGGTGGCCTTCTAATTAATTAATTAAGTCATGCAAGCATGACACTATTTTATATTTTATAAATCCAGGCTATAACTTTGAAATCTAGGGTATTTTATCTTTACCAAAGTTGTTCAATTCATTCATTAGGATTTTTCATATTTATTCTGAAACTTACATTTAAAAAACATATTTAGTCCTTTTTCAAGATATTGAAGAATAACAACACAATTGAAACTAATTCTAATGTCATAATGTGATTTTTTTTTATTCTCATTTATTAATTAGTTTATTTTTACTTAATTAGGTTAAGTATCTTTTAAAACACAAAGCTGGAGATTTGTTTGATAAAAAAAATGCTCTATTCCTTTTCGCTCTTCCACAACATTAACCTTGTTTTCAAATGTTCTGATTTTATTTTTTTGGTCGATCCTCTCAATGAAAAAGTGAGACACATTAATTCGGGTTTAACCCTAAAAAATGGTTGTATTGGTTTGAGATTTTCTTCGATGTGACCTAACCTTCAATCAGCTGTGTTTGGTTTTGGGTCTGTTTATTAAGCCTTTTATTTGCATACGGGCTTTGGCCTTATAGCCATTTTTGTTTCAGATATAATGACCAAAAAGAGCAAACATGACAATTCACAAGAGAAAAGACCTAAATGACAAAACGATATATATATATTGTGTGTGTGATTGGGGTTAACTATTTCACTCAATAACTTAACAAATATCAAATTTCATTAATAAAATAATCTGTTTAAAGGTTATTATTCATAAGTAGATCTACTCTACATATTTCATCTGTATGCTGCATGATAATATTAAATTTTAAAAATAAATCATTTTAAATTATATATTTTAAATTTTAAAGATATATATTAATGTAAAAAATCAAATAAAATGCAAGATAAAGAAAAATATTCATAAACTATATAAATTGTCAAAGTAAAGTATAAAAATCTTATTAATTAGGTTAAATTATACATACACTTCTTTTAAAATTTAACAAAATTTCACTATACTTTTTATCTAAAGAATATAATGAGACGTATATTTATTTTAATTTGAAGTAAATATATCTTCAAACTTTTAAATTATCTTTTAAACTGTTTAAATGTAAATTTGTTATTATTATACAAATAAATATATAATTATCAATTATGCAAATTTTCAAACAAAATGTAATTCTAATAAATTTTAGAATATATTTTTTCATATTTGTGAAATCTATATATTTTGAGGGACATGAAAGAAAAAATAATAAATTTAATAGTTAATGTAACAGAAAGGAAAAGATAAATTTTAACGAGCATATTAGAAAAACAATAAATATGATACATAATGACTTAGAGAATTTTAAAAAGTTTATGATATTAAAAATTATGTCATTTAATATCGAATGACAAACTTAAACTTCACATGATAAAAAGTTAAAATTTATATGAGACATTTGCTTAGGGCAACCTTTTTTTTACACATAATATAGTTTTTTAACATATTTTTTTTATTTGGTTGAGTTTAAATTGAAAACCCAATTGTTAATGGGCTCATTTACGGGCCTCGTTACCTTGTTGACCAAAAAGGTTATTAAAAAGCATTAACGCCGTTGCCGGGGATCGAACCCGGGTCGTCCGCGTGACAGGCGGAAATACTTACCACTATACTACAACGACTTGGTGCTGAAAGTACGTATAAGAATATATTAAAACACTAACTTGAATCAACGTTGAAAATTAAAAATTTCCTTTCCTTCCACCTTTATCTTGTATAAATTTCTTTTAGTTCAATGGAAATAATGTAACAAAAAAAAAAAAAACCTAACACGTAGAAGTCTATGTTTATGAATTCACTCAGTAAGGTACTTATCAATTCCATATATGTAAAGAGAGTGGAGACTAATTTTCACTATGTCAATCCTTTGTAGAAGTGTGTGTTTAGTTTGTTTTTTCCTAAGTTTAAAATAAAAGATTATGAAGTGTTCTTAAGGTTTTGTTTAAGATTACTTCACTTACAATTTTGAACTGCCACTAGTTTGAAAAAAATTGATTCAAAATTGAATAAAATAATATTGAATTATGAAATATTTTACTAAATTAACTTAAATTACATAATATATATTTTATACTAAAAAATAAGAAAAAAAAGGTCCTAAATATCTGAATGAGGAGATTTGAGTTTACGTGTGGTGTGGCTAAACGTAATGTGTGGGGAAGTGAAGCGTTGGCATTGGCAGTGACATTTGTTTTGATTTAACGTTCAAATGGCGACTCATTCATTGATTCATTGTTATCTTATTTTCTTGCAGTCTGAGTCTAAGTCCGAGTCCGAGTCCGAGTCCGAGTCCTCATCCACAACTAAATAAATCACACGCAACGTGTCATCAAACAATACCACGTGCGCACTGCGCATACCGCGTACACCCACACCCCTCCCAATCCCCATTTTTCATTCTCTTCGACCTTCAACAACTTACACTACTTCCCTTCTCATCTTTCACCGCCTCTTGCAACCGCTTCTAGAACCTTCCTTTTCATCCCTCTCAAATCAAAATTAATCTTCTATTCGTTGTTAATTTTTAAATTCTTCTTTAGATTCGCTATTTGTAAATTTTTGAGTTAAGAGCAATTTATTCAGTCCTTAAATCTTGGGTTCGTTATTCTAAGACAGAAATTATTGGTGTGTTTTGTTAATCAGTTAGTTGAAACCCTAAACTCTATGGAAGGTTTGTGACTTGTAGAGGAAGGGCGTGAGAAGAAGAAAATGTCTGTGGAAAGGTCGTTTGAAGCATGGGAAGAGGTGCAGCGACACGGTCAGGACCTAGCTGACCGGCTTGCCCAGGGTTTCAGCGGCTTGATCCAGACCCACATGAACCCTCCCCAATTCGTGTGGCCCAACCCTCCCAAGTCCAAGCTTTTCGATCTGGAGTTTCCTTCACAGAATTTTGGGAAGAGGGATTTCGGGTTGGCTACGGAGGATTATGGAATCAACGGCGTTTCCGCGATTTTCGATATTGGGAACCGGATCGGCCAGGCCGGGGCAGATTTTGGAGCGAGCTTGAACGGGTTGGTTCAGCAGTTTTTCCGGTCGTTGCCGTTGCCGGTGCCGTTCAAGCAGGAGGAGGATTCGGTGAGGATGGAGGGTGGGGATAAGGGTTGGCAGAGGAGTGGGGTTGGGGTGGTTGTGCAGGAGGATTTGGGTTTGGGGTCACTTAGTGAGAGATTGAAGAATCATGGGTTTGCTGAGAATGTTAATAATAATGGTGGTGGCAGTGGAACTGTGGAGGAAGAGGTTGGTGGTGGGTTTAACCTTGGGTCTATTGGTCATCTGGGTAGGCGACAGGTAAATATTATTGGTCTTGGTCTTGGTCTTGGTGTTGTTTGGTGCACTTCTGTAGTTTTATTTTCGTTTGTTTTCTCTCCAATGCCCACAAATTCCCCCCTGATACATACAGCAAAAAACCAGTGAATTTTAAATATTAGTACATGCACTTACTAGTTCAGAGTAAATTATTTTTTTGTGACATTGATCATGTTAGCCACTGAGTAAGTAGACAGGTATTGATCTTGTTTTTCGGTTAGAATCTCAAATTGATGAATGATCTACCTTGTGCAGTAGAGATTTATATTGAATTCTGTGTGGTAGTTTTCGGTCCAATTCAATATAGCTGACTACCTTTCAAATTGTTTGTTTGGAAAGATTGCTTATAATGAGCATTTATTTGTATGTAAAAAATGTGCAGGTTCTGGAACCTGTATTTTATATGGATAAATTTTTTATTGTAACTCTGTTGCATCCTTCGTCTATCTATTTCATTTACTGGTTATATTTTGTCATGCACAGGGAATCATAAATGTTACGTCAACTTATGATAGTAGAACTCAAGAAGTGGAAGGTTCTTTAGTTGCAAGAGGAGATTTGTGGAGAGTAGAGGCATCACATGGTGGTTCTACATCTGGAAATGAAAATTCATCTCTTTTCCTGGTCCAGCTTGGTCCTCTCCTCTTTATTCGTGATTCAACTCTCCTTTTGCCTGTTCATTTGTCGAAGCAGCACTTGCTATGGTATGGCTATGATAGAAAGGTAAAGATGAGGTCCAGCTGGCTAAATTAGTCTTTGCTAAATAAAGATCTGGTATATGTGGGGAAGGAAAATAAAACATGCCCATATATATTGTGTTTTATCCTTGAAAAGCAACTGTGTGAGCATTGTGTGGGAGTCTACTTAGAAAAATCTTTTATAATTTGTCCTAATAATAAATAGTCTTATTGCTATATCCTGTATCAGACACATTTGATCATTGAACACTGTTTGCTTGTAGAGTCGTTAATTAACTTTTCTTTCCAAGCTATTGCAAAGTATGCTAAAATGATGCTTGTGCTATTACGGGTATTCATCTTGATCATTTTAATAATTTATGTATTTTGGTGAGGCAGCAGCAGTTTACAGTATGGATTTGTTTTCTTATCAAATTACTCTCTTGTGGTAAATTTGTTTAATTGGTTTTTAGAATTGCATATTTAGTCTCCATTTTCTGTGTAGTATTGCCTGCAGATGTTCCATGTAGTGTCCCCCACCCAAATTTAACTTTTTATAATCTTACACAATCATTTTTCAATTGTCAGAATGGAATGCATTCTCTTTGTCCAGCAGTGTGGTCAAAACATAGAAGGTGGCTGTTAATGTCCATGCTTTGCTTGAATCCCCTAGCTTGTGTAAGTTGATAGATTATATCGTTAAGATGACTCAACATTTGTTCTAATTTTTATCTTTTTGTACAGTTCCATGATGATTTATATGATACTAATATCCCAATAGGTTGTGTTTCTTTGTAAGTCAATTTGATCTTTTAGCTGATTATTTTAATTTAGGAGTATAATGATCTTGCCCTAAGATGTAATCCTGCACCTATCATACTTGGTGTTTCATTCATGGTTATTTGAATTTATAGTGTTTGACTTGATAGAATATTCTTGGTTGTATCAATCTTTTTATTTAAGAGCACAGGACATAGATAGAAAGGGTTGTCAGCATAGTTTAATCATTTAGGCGTAATTTTTTACTAGTTTTTATGTTTTTATTGATATAGATAGAGCCTTTACCCTGAGACAGATGTAAAAATTTGAGTATTTTATAGCACTTGACATGTAACTCTCTTGGGAGTATTATCCCAAATGTTAAAGAACCAAAGAAGTAGGTACAATAAAGTTTTTTTAAATTGTGTTGTGGTTAAAAACAAGTTCTTACTTGATTCAATCGTTTTTCAAAAGTCAAAACTAGTTTAAAGATATACTATACAAAGCTGGTTACAAACTAAATGATTTTTATTTGTATTAAAACTTGCAAAAACATCATTATTTCTAACATCCACTCTCTCTTTCTTCTCTAATTGAGAATTTCAAAATATTTGCCTAGTTTTATAAAACAGTATTTGAAACTAAAATAGTTTTAAATCAAACTTTCAACAAACACCAACATGTTTGAAATTAATTTAACATTTATAAAGAAATTAGTTTTAGTTTTAACTCAAAACAATTATGAATCTATTTTTTAGTTTGCTAAACTCTCCATTATAGTCACTTTGGAGGGTTTTTTTAACCCAAAAAAAAAAAGCTTTTTTCAATACTGTTTACAAAAAAAATAGAAACAAGACAATTACTTGTCCGTGGAAAGTATTTAAAAAAGTATCATACATACAAGAGGCAATACTCTTTATAATAATAATAATAATATCATGTGTAGCTGTTGCAGTAGGAATAGTAATAATATCACACAATAAGAAGGTAAGCGTGCAAAGTTGCAATTCATTTCAATGGAGTGGTAAGTATCACGTGCCTGTAGGAAAGGCCAAAATGAGGTGATTTCTTGTCTGAACTGACGACTAGTGAGACCCAATGGGGATGCAATGTCAGTGATTATTACAGATAAACACAAATCATATGGAGAGCGAGATGAGAGAACAGTAGAGCAAAGAAGAGAGAAACAATGATAGTGAATGTCTTGGGTCCTCTGAGAATTATTCCTTTCTTTTAGTTAGTATTGTCCAATGCTTGGGCAATATTCTTTGGGTGCGTGACACATGGTCAGCATGAAAGAGTATTGCTTCCTGTCTACATTATTTTGGTCAAAAAGCCCACTTTGAAGCTTGCTAGATCAGAATATCTAGATAATATTTCATATTATTATTGTGGATGATCTCTTGTCTAGACAGATTATTACTCTTGTCTAGACAGATTACTTAGTTAACCCCCATTAGTATGTAGTTAAAATAAGTTGGTTAGTTAGGTGAGTTTGTTTGAATAAGGCATGTTGCTTATAAATAAGAGTGGAGATTAAAGAGGGAGGGAAGTGATTTGTGAAAGGAAATTGGGGGCTTTTTGGCATTGGGAGGTGAAGACCCTTGAAGTTCTGTAGGTGTGTGTTTTGTAATTGGGCTTCATCCCTAATTCTTCTTTAATAAGATACCTTTTTTATATCAATTGGTATCAGAGCTCCTAGACCAGGGAGCTGTGGTACAAGGTTCACACACAGATGGAGTCTTGCTTGGAGTTGGAGGCCATGGAGAGGGTTCTTGAAAGCTGGAAGAAAGGGATTCTGAGAAGTTATTGGCATCCATAGATAAAGAAATGCAAGAAATAGGGTGAGAACTTCAAGAAGCACGAGCTGTGGATGTTGAGTTCTTGAAGGTGATTCCAACATTTGATGGAAAGGAGGCCTATTGGTGGGCTGATCCAGGTTGAACAGTATTTTGAAGCCACTGTAATGCATGAGGTAGTGAAGCTATCAAGGGTAGCAAAGGCTCTAAGAGATGATGCTCTCAACTGGTGGCTAAGTTGGAAATGTTACAAGTTACAACCAATATGCAGACTGGTGGACATTTGTCAGGGCAGTGCTCAAGAGATTCCAGCCAGTGTATGACCTAGATCTGCAAGTTTGGGTTGAAAATCAAGATTCTATGCTGCAAAAAAAACAGAAGAGAAGATGAAGTCATAAGAACAGAACCAAGAAATCGAGAGTATGAAACAAAAACAAAAAAGTTACAAGAATTGGGAGAAATCCAACAAAAGCAACTCAACAACATTTTGGACAAACTAGTAGAAAACATAAACAAGAATGAGTCTTTGAGACCAAGAATCACAGTGGCAGAGATGACATAGAGATGGGTGTTTCTTTGGGTTGTAAAGGGGAGGAAAAAATTGAGGGAGAGGTCCTATGTTTGGTAGGAGGGGAGAGCCAAGGACTAAACCAACAACAGCAGTAGAAGTTTTGGTAGTATGATTAACCCTGACAAAACCAAATCTTAAAGTAGAGGATCTTAATAATGATCTGCTGCAACCATAGGCAGCAAGTACAATTCACAAGGGAGCTATGGGATCTCAGTATAATCAGAGAGCCTTTGATGCTCTGTTCTATGGCCTAACATAATATAGAAATTAGAACACTAAGAGCGTAGGAATTTTCACTTGTTTGTGTTTGATCCAGGGCAAGTAGTGTTATTTTTGGGCACCAGGTTGTAGTTTGCAGCTGCCAAAACTATTCACCTTGAGGACAAGGTGAAACATTAGGGGAAAATATTGTTACATAACTCCCATTTGTAATCAGTTATGGTGTTAGTTAGGGACTTATTAGTTAATTTGCCTAAGGCATGTTGTCTATGAATAAGAGGGGAGATTAGAGAGGAAGGGGACATGTGATTTGTGAGAGGAAGTTGGGGACTTATTGGGCATTGGTAGGTGCAGACCCTCAAAGTTCTGCAGTGTGTGTTTCATAATTGGGGTTCATCTCGAATTCTTCTTAATAAGATACCTTGTTTCTATCTATCTCCAAATATATGATTTCAGCTCATTAGAAAATATTTTGGAGTATCATAGATGATTTCTTAGGAGTTGTTTCCATATTTCATTATATTTCATGACTTGTTTCCTTATTTAATTAGAATTAGGGTCTAGTATTAGTATGACTTGGAGTTAGAGGCTTAGAGCTTTGCATTTCTAACTCTTCATTACCAACCATGTATCAATAAATATATTCTATTCTGTCCATGTAACTCCATTTCACACCATGTAACTCTTCATTCGGAGTTAGAGCTTTGATTTTGTCCTTTCCTTCATTTTGGAGGTCCACTTTATTTATCTATTTATACTCTTTCTTCTTCTGATCAGCTGTGTCTTTTGTCGTATCCTCCTTTTGGCACCCTTTATCCATTACTTCATTCACCTGTCTCTACATCTTCTCTTTCACTGCACCACTGTCAGTTCCAGCATGTCCTGATCAGTGAATACCTTAAATACTTCCACCATCAGAGTTTCAGAGCCCTACCTCAAGCTCCCAGCGTCCTTCAGCTTATACCAGTGTCTTTCAAGATCTCACCTCATCTCATTAAACTGGTCATTAGAATCTCTTCAGGCAGCCTTTCTGTTGTTCATGCTGCCCCTATTATTTCCACATCTGCTGTCTTGTCTTTTCCCTGCCACTTACATTTGCCCCTATCCTATGGCAATTTGTCTCTTTAGCCTGCTTTTTTTCTTATGCATTTTCTCTCTCTCAGTCTGGTTGATGTGCTGGGACTTTTTCTTGGCATTCCTTCTGATGTTAATATCTGGACTGGACATTGTTTGGGTTATACTATTTGGCTCTTCTCCAAAGCCAGCTTGGCATTGCGGGGGAATGATAAAGTTACATCTTTTCTCATTGACTAATAGTTTGGTGGCCCACTGACAATCATCCTAGTAGTGGGCAAGAAAAGATGTAACTTTATCATTCTTGTGGATGATTGTTAGTGGACCACCAAACTATTAGTCAATGAGAAAAGATGTAACTTTTATCATTCCTGCACTCTCTAGCCTCGTTTCTGGTTCTAGATGCTGTCTTTGATTGTCACTGCATTATATTTTTAGTTTATTTTCATTTAATGCATTTAATTATAACAAGATTAAAGCTTCATTAGCCTAGCAAGGAAGCATCTCTGAATATGTAGAAAGTATGTTAATATCATTATTTCTTCTTAAGCATAGTTGTTAATCTCAGATAGCTGCAAATAGCATATGACCCCTAAAACACTATAATGAAATAGCATATAGCAGGATGACTGTTATAAAAAGTTTATAATATGCATATATATAAAAGTGATTAGTGAACGCAGAAACAACGGAGACATTGGAAAAGCTGATTTTTTCAGTGAATAAAAACACAGATGTCGGAAAAGTTGATTTCTTCGGTGAAATGGAAAGGGTGAGCTGGTGAAGAGGGAAGAAACCGCTATGTTGAGGCCCTGACTTTTCGAGCAGAGGTGGAGTGTGGGGAAGATGAAATCAATATATATATGTTCTATAAAGGGCAAATGACCTTTCTAACCTTAAAAATAATTAAATGCCGCATTTTAGAAAAATCAAAATAGGGTTTCTTGCTTTCCCAAATTTGTGCAATTGCACATGCGAACTTCTCCTTTTCTGGCTGCAAACCCCCACAATCACCGCAACATGACAAACCACCCCGATGTGCTGGCTGACTGCCGCACCACGCTAGTGGGATAACACTGCTATGGAGCGCTATTAACAACTATGTTCTTAAGATAGTTTGTAATATCATATATGATCTCATGAGTGACTTTCATATTTCATTACATTCCATGAATTGTTTCCTTATATAATTACAATTAGGAGTTTAATATATAAATAGGGGTTTATGTTTGTATCTTGTAACATATCATTACAAATCATATGTTAATACTAAATTATTCAGAGTTTATTCTTTGCTCTTTTTTTCCTCTCATTAAGTTCATACAATTTCCTTTGAGCTCTTTGTTGATGCATAATATACTGGATATTTTGATAGAATGTAATTTACTATCCTACTCGAGCAGTTTCTTGGCGTGTCAAAGAATTATGTTTCTCTACCAGATTAATTAACATATTTCCTATCATAATCTTTTCTTTTTTCTCTTTCTGCATCCAGTCATTTGTGGATCTTCAATTCCCTAATGGGCAACTAACCTATGTATCTGGTGAGGGTCTAACTACCAGTGCTTTCCTTCCTGTCTTTGGAGGTCTTCTTCAAGCTCAGGGTCAATATCCTGGGGAAATGAGATTCAGCTTTTCATGCAAGGTTAGAGTCTTGAAGCCCTTAGTGAAATAACCTTTGAATTTTCACAATGTTAGCCAGGTGCAAAAATTTTAATGATCTCAAACTGATTTCCTTGTGCATTGGGATTAATATTTGTTACTCTTCTGTTTTCTTAGAACAAGTGGGGAACAAGAATCACACCAATGGTACAATGGCCTGACAAATCATTTTCTTTGGGTCTTGCTCAAGCCTTGGCCTGGAAGAGATCTGGTCTCATTGTGAGGCCAACTATCCAATTCAGGTGAGATGTTATAATCCTTTTATGCCTTATTTTGTTGTGTTCTTTGTTTTTTTGGGGCTGGTTAAAGGGATGGGATGCTGTGAATATCATATGGATTGCTGAGGTGTTCCCAGAACACTATTGTGGAGGAAATATTTGTGCTGTGAATACATGCTTGATTATGCTATTATAGCCATCTATGCCACTATTCTGTCCATGTCCCTCTTCTGGCCCTGAAACAGTGTTGTCTGATGCTGTTTCACGGGGACAATATTTGGGATTTTGCTTGTGTTTCCAACTATCAGATCAGAAACTCTATTCCCATTCTCAGTCTTACACTTGCCCAGTTGCATGCCCACTTGGTGCGGAAGCCCCCCAGCCCTTCTCTCTGACAAAGACTCAACCTTTTCCCTACCCATCTTATTAATGAAAGTATTCTTTTTTTTTAGTGTTCTATCATGGTATCACTAATGTATATCTCAACTTCAAAATAGCAGTCATGTTGCTATTTGAAATCTCGCTATAGCATTTTTGGGTCAGTTGCTCTATGCTGCTATTTGGATTGACTACTATTAACTTTTCCAATCTAGACGAATTGTCTCCCCTAAGCATGGTGTTACTATTGAGAAATCTGGAAGTGTAATTTAACTTCTAGTTTCCTGAATAAGAATGTGTTTTTTTAATATTTGTTTTGACCCTACATGCAAAACTATTTGTTTCACATATTCTATAATACATAATCATTAAGTGTGTATTTGGATTACTTTATTCTTGTTCAAAATAGCTTTTAATCAAAATCTTACTGAGAGAGCTTGGGCTTTTAATTAAGAAAGAGCTATTGACCCCTGCAAATTATGCAAATCCAAGAATGCACTGTCTTAAATATTTCCAGTGCATCTAATACAAATGTAAGAAATCTTTTGGTGTACTTTATTATTGTCTCCAATCTTACTATAACTTGCAAAACTAATTGTTTCACATATTCTATAATACATGAAATTTCATTCATGCATCCTGATATATTTTTATGTTCTATACATGGTCAGTGTATGCCCTACACTTGGTGGAAGCAATCCAGGGTTGCGGGCAGAACTCATTCATTCTGTTAAAGAGAAACTTAGTCTAATTTGTGGATGTGCTTTCATGACACATCCTTCTGCGTTTGCTTCAGTCTCTGTGAGTTGTTTCTGAATGAGCATAACTTTTTGAATTATTCAAGATTTATTTTTGATGTTTTCTGATATTGTTGTGAAAGCATGTTTGTGAGATAGAAACCTGTGGTTTATAATTTACTTTTTGGCTTAATATTATTGCTCATTAAGCACATCATTACTGTTATCAGTTGATGGAAAGGGGTAGATAAAAACAGAGTTTATAGTTCACACTAATCACAAGATGTTCTTAGTTTGCTAACTGAGCTTAGGATTTGAAACCCACTGGAATTACCTTGTGGTTAGGGCCAAGTTAACATTTAAGTGAGGATTGGTTCCACACCCAAAGGGTGTGGGTACATGTCATTATCTTACTAAAAAGGCAAAATATATCTAGTAAACTTTACATTTATGTATTTGTCAATACAGATAGATAGACACGTGCATGTATGCTCAAACATACCATTTTGATAATGTACATACATATATGCATTATGTAGGATTAAATTTTAATCAGAGAAGTAAAAATAGAAGTGGATTTTATTATACTCCAGCTGTAATTTTTGTTAGGTTCATTTATGTGAAAATATTGGAATTGAAATATGCAATATTATTGAGTGTATGTTGGTGGTGTTTTAGGCAAAAGCTGAAGATAACATACTTTAAATTCAAGTAGCCCTGAAGGCAAATGGTATAAAGCTTAGATGTCCATTGTCGTGGGTGGTTGTATTGTCACTATCTGTTGATGTATGTACTAATTATACAATATTTGTATAAGAAAAGTATAATGCCTATTCTTTGGTTTTTAACATACTAATCGCTTGATAACAAAGAAAAAAGGAAGTGAGAAGACAGAGTCTAACATGTAGTAAGTATATAAAATTTAGTGTACTCGGACCATTTTAAGTTCTTATCTTTGTAAGTCACTACGCCAGGTGGGAGTCTCAGAATACGTGTCCCGAATGTTTATGAATAATGATTATTTCTTGCTTTATTACCGTTGTAAACTTTTGTTAGCACTAATCGTTGACTATTATTTCCCAAGTTCATAGTGAAAAGTGAGTGGTTATGAATGATAATCTAAATGATTTCTCTTGTCTAACTTTTTGTATTGTGTTCAGATTGGCAGATCAAAGTGGAATGGAAATGTGGGGAACTCAGGTCTTGTTCTAAGAGTTGATGCCCCTCTCTCCACTGTTGGGCGCCCTTCCTTCTCCATTCAGATAAACAGTGGCATTGAGTTTTGATCCAAGTGTTTGGTACCATCTGTTTTATATATTACATGAAGTGTACATAGGTTTGGTCCCTTGAAACATACTTGCAGGAAAAAAAAAACGGAAAAGAAAAATCTCCTAACAGCAAAGCTTGGTCTTTATGTGAATAGAAAATCTTGACCTGGTAGTATATTAGTTTGTCATTTTCTATGGTTTGGCCCAAATCATTTTGGAGCCTAGTGTACTTATTATTGAATTTCTAATTATTTTGCAGGCCTAACTTCTAAAAGTTGCAAATTGAGTTGTGGGAATACTTCTCATTGTTATTTTTCCTTAGATTAGTACTAAAATTCATATTCTAATTGTTATAATTAGGGAGGATCTTCCCTGTGTAAGAGAACTTAAACTTCTCAAGCAATGAAAGGGGAGAATTAGTCATGGATTTTGGTGTTAAGGTCCCCTCATAAGTCATATCATCACTAGTTTCTTGCCGTGCTCATAGCTTCCGAATTAGACATTAAAACTAACCAGTAAATAATCACCAAAAAGAAGCTCGAAGGATAGTAATAACCTGTGGATTTAACTTTCATCTGTCATCGGGATGTAGGCATGTAGGCACTGTTGGCTAAGGTTCTCAGTTTCTGGCAAGAATTAGCATATTCTTAACAAACCATGACGAATAAATTTAAATTGTCTTATGGACGGGAGTTGTTTCAAAGAATACTGATGAAAAAGCATGAATTATTTAATAATCATGAGGCTTTTCTACATTGAGCATTAGATTTTTTGGTTAAATTTTTATTCATTTCAAATTTTTATTTTAAATTTAATTTGATTTAAATTTTAATACACCAGTTTAATAAAAGTGAAAAAATTGAATTTAATTGATTTTTAAAAGGTTATCTCGTTAATTTTGTTTTATTAAATTTAAAAAGAATTTATTGCTAATAACAATATTTATTCTTTAATTTTTTTTATATTAAAAGTTCAATTTAACATACAGCACATTGTATAGAGGGGTATACTATACTATGTATTTTAGATTGTTGATGTTATAACCGTTCTAAATTTTGGCTTCTGTCTGGCTAAGTGCCTAAATTTTAACGGAATGTCACTTCAGTACTTTGCAGCATTCTTACAAAGGTGAAATACAAAAGCACAACACTAAATCAACGATGAAATCCAGCACATTCTTTTGGCTACTTTCTACATGATTATTATTCACATCCATATTAACATGCCATAGGATTGCGAGTAGGGAAAGACTCACGCTTGATGTACAGTATTATACGTTGCAACTTTACTAACCAATTATATTTCTGGTATAATAGTAACCAGTAGCGCTCAAGCTTTTCTTTTTATTTTTTATTCAATGACAAACTTTAAGGCTGTGATCCAGCTCCAATCTTATTCATCAAAATCTAATGAGCAAATAGTATCCACCCAAAGCATATATATTTGTTTTATAGAATACAATTTGAATCTTAAGTGCTATCACCATGCCCTAAGAAATCAATGCTGTTGAGGCTTTGAAACTGACATTGAATACCGCATTCATAAGATCAACACATGAAATGCCTTTAAACCCCCATATATAGCAAAAATGAAAAATCCTCTATACACTTTGAAACCCCATGTTTGACTTCAACGATACTTTTTTTACATGTATTATGCTTTCACTCTAAATTGTTACTGTTAGTAACTAACATCCTTTACAAAAGAATTTGAATATAATGAGTTGCCTCCATAACTTGCTAATCACACATCATCGGAACCTCGAATAAGTTTATTGGTTGAAGAATAATGATCTCTACTTGGAAGAGACACCGAAGAGTCAATCCATGGGCCCCCCATTGATTTGCTTCTTTGCTCAATACTATCTTGTGAGAACGCAGAAGAAACATGAGTTTGGCTGTCCTGTGATAACATCTCAAAGGCTTTAAATCTCACATCTTGGGCACTGTCACTGCGTTTAATTATTGGTGCTTGAATTGGAGTTTTTCCTTCAAGCATGTTCACTACTGATGACATGGGTGGTCTAAGAGTGGGAGATGGATTGGTGCACAAGAGTGCCAACTGCAGCATTCTCATGGCCTCTTCTGCTGAGTAGCCTGAACTAAGACTTGGATCCACCAACTCCAGAAGGTTTCCTTGCTCTTGGAGAACATAGGCCTTCAACAATGACATGCAAAATATAGCATTAGAAAATCAACCAAATCATTAGCATGAAACAAGAAAGCATGATAAAAGAAAATAGTAGTATAATAGTGTCTCCTTTTATTTTAATATATAAAACTATGCTTAATAATTATCTTGTTATATCAGATTTTGTATGTTTTATTATAGTAGGAGATAAATGGGATGCAGATGAAGATGGCAAAGATATTTTGAAAATATTGTATTAAATATAATTTGTGAAGATGACAGGGTAAGTTGGGTATTATGCAGTATGCACCTCAAATGCTCTCTCACTTTAGCTAATAAAAAACTCAAAGCCACACAGGAGTAACTTACCCAATCTAAAAGATATACAAACTCTTCCTTTGGCCTGTAATTTGTGTTGCTCTTTCCACTAACAATCTCTAAAGCTACAACTCCGAAGCTATAGACATCTGCCTTGTCAGTCAGGTAACCCCGCATAGCATACTCAGGAGCCATGTAACCACTGATAAGAGAACATTTAGTAACTTCGTGTCAGCAATTTCACAATATAATTCGACATGTATGTCTAGCATTTATTTCAATGATTATAGATATTGTGGATAACAGTGCACGCCTACTAATGATGAACCAAGTCTAGGATTCAAACTGAAAATGCTGTGCATAGTACTAACATTGTCCCAGCTATTCTTGTGCTGATATGGGTATTCTCTTCTTCATCAAGTTTGGCTAAGCCAAAGTCAGAGATTTTGGCATTCAGATGCTTATCAAGTAAGACATTGGTTGCCTTAATATCCCTGTGTACTATTTTCAACCTAGATTCCTCATGAAGATAAGCTAATCCCCTTGCAATGCCCACACAGATCTTCATTCTTGTGGGCCAATCCAAGTGTATCTTCTGTTCTTCTTTACCTAGAAGAGGAGTTTTGTACAGTTAGATTTTAACTAGGTAGGAACATATACACATGACAAAATAGTTCACGAAGCATTACCAAAAAGTGCACGAGCAAGGCTATTGTTCTCCATGTATTCATATATTAGCAGCAACTGGTTGCCTTCAATGCAGCAGCCATAAAGCTTCACAAGATTTGGATGTTGCAAAGCTGATATCATGCCAATTTCATTGACAAATTCGCGGTTCCCTTGCTTTGATTTTGAGGAAAGCTGCTTAACAGCAATCACAGTACCATCTGACAGTACACCCTGTGAATAAGCAATGTCTTTAGTGTCTTAAATATGTAAGACAATTATAATCTATCCAAAGTTACCTTGTATACTGGTCCAAAGCCTCCTTCACCTATCTTATTTGCTGGGTCAAAGTTATCAGTAGCAGCTTTAATTTGTCTTAAACTGAAATAACCCGTCTTCAGATCTTGTAGTTCTGCAACATGGTAAGTGTAACTACTCAGAAAGAAAAAATATAAATGAAAAGATAGAGATAAAAGAGACACTGAAAGAGAGAAAAGAATTTGTTAAAATATATGAAAAATATCCAGTAAATTTTAGTTATATCTTCAAATAATTGAGTATCTTAGATTATCTCTTAGGATTAGTTTTGCATATTTCCTATAATTTCAACAAATAGAAACCAATTGTGCATTTTCTGTTAACTTAAAATTATATAATTTTGGATCTTTGCAGTACATTATATGTTGTAACATTATTAAAATATTATCAGATATATAAAAGTAGTGTCTATTATTAGATTAGAATATTATCACACATACACACACACACACATCAATCTGAGCCTTGCATTAGCAAAACCAGATTATAAGGGCAGCAACTGTCAGCTTCATTTTGGACTTTAATCTTACCTTTGTCTCTTGGATCTTCCCCACAAAGAAAACCTATCTTCCAAAGAGCAAAGAGTATCAGTATGACAAACATGCATGACCCGGTCACAATTCCAACAATTGCTCCAGTAGACAGCCCATTTGAGGGAACTTTAAAGTCTACAATAAAGTAGAAATGGTTAAAGAACATGAAATGATAAGGCATTTAATTGATTACAAAGAGGAAACCAACTACTTACTTGGTGTCACAGTGATAGCGGATATAAGAGGTCCATATACACCTCTTATAGGAATGGCATTAGTTCCTTTCCCTGCCCAGGATAAGTGGATTTCCAAGGTGCTGTCATTAACATCAACATTAAACTCCTTAGTGACTCCTTTACCAACTCCACCAGCTTCTTCTACAATGTTTAAATCTTTCAAATATTTAAAACCCTGTCAATGTACAGTAATGAAAATATCTACCTTCAGAACTTCTGTTTTATTGTTTCTCAGGTACAAATAAGAGTAAATTTTAGAAGAAACTAAAAAGAGAGTAACAAATTGTTTGCTTCATTACTCACTTGGATTGAAACATCAAATATGCGCTTTCCAAGGCTGCTAAACTTCTGGTCATCAGAAAACACTATCTCAGCAAAATGAAGTTTCACTTTGTAATTGCCATTCAGCATACAAAGGCCATAGTAATTAAGATACAAAGGGGCCATGCGGGCTGTTCGGTAGTATTCAGGGCCAGTAATATTCAAAGAAAACTGATTTGTTGCTACATAATCAGCCTTTTCATTTCCCAGATATACTCCAGTGCTGCTATAAGCCCATTTGCCGCTATTACTAGAAACAAAAGTTGAAATGCCACGTAGATTGGTGTCAGCTTCATATTCATACCCCTCAAACTCTGTTTCAGGTCCTCCACAATTTATGAACAGTGAATGATCTGCAGAGACATGGTGAAAATGAATCATTTATTAAGAAGAATAACAAGGAAAGGGATCCACTTACTTCAGGAGTAAGTCTCGCCAACTTACTCTTTTTAACAACTTTTTATAGTAATCAAATTTCATTAATCCAACTGTTATGTCATATAATATTATCCTTAATGATTATAAATGTTTAATTTTAAATAAATTGAACATTCATAAGTATGTAATCTTATAATTGATATTTGCTTATATTTTGAAAAGTATATTGTGCATTAAAATAAAGTTGTTTGATGAAGTGTCAAATAAATTTTAAATTATGTAAAATTTAGTAAGCTTCATCTACTAATTGAGAACTCTTAAATTAATAGTTGGATTAGTGAAGTTCAATGTCTATAAAAAGTTATTAAGCAAAGTAACTTAACCAAGACTTACTTCTGGAGTAAGTGCATCCCTTCCCAAATAACAGAGCTTAATGAAAAAGCAAGAAAAAAAATTTTGTTCTCTCATACATGTTTCTTCAAAATGAAACTACCATAATTGCATTTACAAAATCACTTTAGTTTATAAAAACATGATTGATGTTCAAAGTCAGAACACTCACACTGGGGTTTTCCTGAACAAGGTAGGCCCCTCTTCAAACAGGATAATCTACAAAATTTAAATTTAGTTTCAAAAGATGATTCAAAGTTGATATAGAATTAAAAATTAGACCACAATCAGGAACATACGAAGTGTTAGCCGAAGGAGAGAGACTGGAAGCTAAGTTCCTGTTCAAAAATAATACCATACTTAGTATTGACATAGGTAAATTGCTTTAAATAATTTCTAAACAAAAAGAAGCTTACACGTCCAAGATCTCACAGGTAGATGTAGACGCCTGTGTAAAATTGTTATAAGATAAATCACTGAAAGAGAACATGAAGTGAGATTAAATTTCATAGTTCAATGAGTGATCAAGAGTAAACATGAGAAAAGTAAATGGTATTTGTGTAACAACTAAATTTCAACGAGTCTATAGTATGCAATTAGAGGGAGGAAAATTTTCATGGAAATATGCTTACATATTCTGTTTGCTGTTCAGTATCCATCCAGGAATTGGTCCACTTAGAGAATTGTTAGTCAGAAACCTGCATCCATCATTAATATAAGCCTCAATATTCATTATATCACAGAAAGAATTACTTTTGAAAAAGCAACCAACATTCTTGAGAACAAATTATGAGTAGGAAGTAGGAACATCCACATCCTTTTGAGTAATTTCTTGCCAGCAAATGAAAATGTTCACTTACATGAAATTAATCTTTTGGAAGTCCTGAAATGAATCTGGGATTGAACCAGTCAATCTGTTAGAACTCAGATCTCTGAAAGAGAAAAAAAACAAAAAGATAATTACTGTGGTAACCTATGGTTCATGGCATAACCAAATGCTAACAACAGAACATAATTAGGTAATTTCAAGTTTCCAATAACTTTTAACTTCTCTCCTTTTGCTGCCATTTTGAAACGCAATATTGCATATAATAATTTGCACATATGATTTATAGTATATACTAAAATTTATGTCTACATTCTTATTTTTGTATACGATTATTATACTGGTATAACTAACCAACAAATGACAGTCACCTTAAAGGACATGTTCAATAGTCATAAAAATTCCTTTCTTCCAAATTTCTACACAAACAGCTGAAGAGTGTTTAAAAATAAATCTTGAAAATATTTAACAATGACTACCAAAGAAGTGTTAGTCACAATTAATTGGATTCAAACTACTTACTGATCTTTATAATTAAGTAAACCCATAATTGTTAACATCATCTAATAAAGAATAATAAACCCTTTAAGGAACCAAGGGAGAAAAGGTACTGATGTGTGCATTTGTCCAACAGTATGAGTGCAATTGTCAAATAAACTCAGACTGGAGAAATGAAGATAATAAAAGGATCTAAGTATTACTCAGTGACTTCTAAATCCTTAAGTATGTGATGATTTAACTTCTTTCATTAATCATTGTGATTGCAACCTAAAATTTCTCTACTACTACTATCATTTCAGTGAGAGCCAGGTAAAAGGAAAATATCAAGCAGACTCACATATTCCCCCCCCCCCCCCTCTCTCTCTCTCTCTTTTGTGTGTGTGTAAATTAAAATTAAATAGATAATGATGAGATTGACAAATAGGGAGATAAAAACAAAAAACATATATAACAGTAATATACACTAGAAGCCACTTACAATGTTTTTAAACTTTCCATTTCACCAATGTTGCCTGGAATGGAACCAGTGATTAAGCAGTTTCTCAATTCCCTGAGTTACGGTAATAAACCAAATGAAAAAGCCTAAATGAATTATATAGTTCTTCACATAATAGAAGGAAAGGTTTCAACTCACAGTCTTTGCATGTGTTTCAAATCCTTCAGATTGGGAAATCCCATAGTTGGACCCTTCAAATCAGATATTCGCCTGATATATAAATGTTTCATCAATGGAAAGAAAATGTTCTCTACTGAAGATTTTATTCTGTAGCTGTCGTAAAATGCACAAAGTAACAATTCATGAATTTTTAAAAACGAGAAAGTACTCACAATTCTGTCAAACTTGTCAAGTTAGATATCACAGAGGGAATTGGGCCTTCCAAGGATGTGCCCTGCAAATCCCTACATAAAACGAAGTTTTCTCAGATTATAAAATGAAAATTAAGCATTATAGAACATTGTTTTATTCCTCAACCAAGAAAAACTCATTGATGAACCAAAATTTAGACTCACAATCTTTCAAGTTTGGTCCAGTTCCCAATAAAACTAGGAATCTTCCCAGACAAACTGCTTCCATCTATCCTACTGCAGAAAATGTTGTGATGTTTCAGAATTCAACAAAGACAAAATATAATCTGAGGAAAATTTTTGTATCACATCAAATCACTCACAACTGAATGAGATTCTTTAGATTTCCATATGCTTCTGGTATTGTCCCTGTGAAATTATTTGAAGAAAGAAGTCTGCAGATTCATTTAGTTAAAGGGAAAATAAAAAAGAGTTAAGCATGAATGGGCAAAAAACATATGAAATTGCAGATAATTTATACATCAATAGAGACAAATTAATGATTGAAATTGATTATGTACACCAAATGAAAGTCACTAAAATGAAACAAATAGTCTCACAATCTCTGCAAGCTGCTCAAATTTGCAAGGCTGGGAGGAAGAGGTCCTTCAAGTTGATTATCTTCCAAGTTCCTGCAGACATGGATTACATATATATTTATTCCACCTCCAATGTTTATCAATATGACATCGTACTTTTCTCAAATGCTTACAGTTCTGTCAGATTAGTCATATCACCAATTTCTGAAGGAATTGAACCAGTAAGTCGATTCCCCAAAAGTGACCTGAAGAATGGTAACAATTGTATGTTGAGGATTTGAATTATGTGTTCATGGAAAATCATGCAAATCCCACTTAGGAAAAATTAAAAAGAAAAAAGCTTTGTTCTAAATTAATGAATGAAGAACATGCCTCAAACATAGAGCAAGATAAAAAAAAAACAAATAAAAAGGTAATGATGACTTACAGAGTTTGAAGTGATGAAAGGCGTCCAAGACTTTTTGGAATTGAGCCATTGAAATAATTCCTAGTGAGATCACTGCTTAGTATATAAGCTTCAGTTATTTCTATTGTTTTGTACATTCTTTTGTATTTGATGAAGTTAATAATGTCTCAATTTCATATGAAAGAACTAGAACGCATATAAATGATAAAATAACACCACAAAAATTGCAATTCACCATTCATATTTGTACAATAGCATGCATGGTGGGGCATTACTATTCTGTCCCCACACACACACTTATATATAGGTGGTACATTATATCAGGTTTGATTGAATTTGACATTACTTTATTGATTGTTAGTTACATTTACCAAACATTATTTTTTACATGTATTATAAAATTGGCTATCAACAAATGCTTAACGTCCCACCTGATATGGTTACCCAAAACGATAGCATAGTTAATTCCCTCATTTGTGACTACAACAATTATGTACATAGTTAATCCATAATTCCATATTCAATATTTTCTAACACAATGACAACATTTATGAACATGAACAAGAAAAGTAAAAGGGAAAAAGAATTCACAATCACTTACAGTATTATCAGTTGAGTTAGATTTCCAAATTCATTGGGTATAGCTCCAGATATATTGAGACCCTTGAGCACACTATCACAGCCAATTTGTTGAATTAGTATTCTCAAATGAATATTTATAATTTTAATAAACAAATGAATGTAAAGTAAAAGAAGGTGACATTTTTCACACAAGCGTGTGGGGGAAATGAAGAGTTATAATTTTAAATAAAGTAATACACCAAAGTAATGCTTCAAATTTCGATCAGCAGCAAATTTGGTTATTGAAATTTCGAATAAAAGTTTAGTTCATGACGTTAGCAATTATCAAATGATTTGGTCCTTCAAATTGCAACATCGGTCAATCTGTTCCTTTTATTGCTGTACCAGTATTTAGACCCAAAATTTGACAGGTATCTGCTAATTTGGTCCAAACTCTAATGCCAAAAACCGAATTGATTGATGATTGTCAAATTCAAGGACATTTCTTTTTAACAATTTTAAGGACTAATTTGATATATTATTCTTTTAAATATTGCACAATTATTAGTATTTTTTTTTAAATGTGTCTTTGTCAATAGAAACACTAGTAATAAAAAGAATTAATTATATGGTTTTTAATCTTGTCAAAAAAAAATTTCTTGAAAAATATCATCAAAGGAATATCATAATAAAAAACATCTCTAAAAATTTTAATTTTTGACAAAGCATAATTTAATATAATTTATGTAGCAAAAACTTCAGGGAGTGAAATAAAGCTTTATCGTTGTTGTTTGCTAGAATATTTTAAAAAAAAAAACTGAGACTAGTTTTCTCAAATTCTCACTGCTATTGATGTCAACTACAAATGGTCAAAGTTGCACAAAATTAAACAGCATAACATACTAGTAAGAGGGGTTTTGAAAAAGGCTTACATCAAAGTTACATGGCAAATGGTTCTATTGTTGAAAGAGCAATCGCACGTAACATTTCTTGTGACTTGATCCTGATCCCTTGAAATATTCCTGTTATCAAACCCTCTATGCCCGTTGCAGGAACGCCTTGTAAGCTTCCAATTCAAGTTCTCTACCTTGTCTGATATTGCTTGTAGTAACTTCACTGCAATTTTCAGAAGACAAATCAAATTACTTTAGGCTACATGCATCCCATCTTTGTTTCAAGGTGTTTTTGGATACATAAATTAAGCACTTATTCGATACATTTTTTCTACATAAAGTTTATGTCATAATTTTATAATAAAACAGTAAATTAAATTTAAAAAAAAGCTTATAAAAGTATAATAAAACTATTACCATATATTGTTCATAAACTCTTCTAAACACTCCCCAAATTTAATCAAACCTCAGAAAAAAAAAAGGAATAAAATAATAGATCTTCAACTTTCTCACATACCCACAATCTAACTCATTTCTATGAAATATCAAACAATGTGAATTTGCTTCACATCACAAGGGACAAGTACCAATAAAGCAGTGGTTAACATAAATCCAAAAGATAATCTCATAGCCCCCAAATAAATCTTTCTGATATCTTCATAATTAATTTTAAATTATTAAAAGAAGTAAACATTTATGTCTAAAAACTTAATATTTTAACTTAAATAATTAAAAATTGATTAGTTAATTTTAAGATCTATAATTCTTTAAAAGAAGATCTAGTGATAAACTAAGAAATCCGACCATGTCTATGTCGGTAAATTCTAGATTGTGACAAACTCATATTTTAACATTCAAATGCTTTAGCTAACCCAGGTGGTCAAAAGCTTTAATTAGCAAACATGCATTAGCCTTTATTTTGCATTACAACTCTCGTCATCAATAGCCTTAAAAATTTGAACACGATGCTACCTTTATATATTTAGTTTGACCAAGTCATACAAGGTGGCCAATATAATATAATATAAGAAAAAAATTCAACTTGTCATGCAAAGATATAGACTTTTCTAAAATTTATATTCTCAAGGCTTATCATGTAAACTCATTCGCATTCTAGTCCAATTATATCACTATTATTGTAACAACAGTCAATGTTATATAAAATAGGAACATCATGCCATCCATAACAAAGATAATTAAAAATAAAGTTTTGTTAACCTCAACTTTTTAAAGTTGAATTTAACTATTTATAAATATAAATTTTTTATAAAAAATAAATAGTTATTATATTAAAATTATAAAAAAACAATAAATATTTTTTTAATAAAATTTTATTATTATTAACTGCTTTAAATTGATAACATAACTCTTAAAATTAAATCTTCCGTTGAAGAATCAAGAGGTTTAATTTAAGGGGTACAAGTCATACGACACATCACATCATTTCATTGACAGGTAAGCAATATTTATCTTAAGGAATAAAGTGCAATTAGAGTATAGTCATTTAGAGCGTGCTGATACAGAATTTGACTCGCCAGCTAGCAAAATCCATCCATATCACAATTTATTTTAATTTTTTCCTCCATTTAATTTATTTTCTCCTATAGCTGCCTTGATTTTTATGAGCCAAATTAAGAGTAGTTTCCCTTTAATTCATTGTAGTCTCCTATTGGCTTGCTGATAATTAGTATTTCACAGGTTCATTCTATGAAACCTCTATATGTCGTGAACACACACAGATCTAAATTCCATTAAAATATTCTGTCCATGGAAAAGGAACAATCAGTCTCACAGTCTTTGACTTGCACACATCAACACAAAAATCACTTGCACTTTATATCACCAATTTGCCCTCATTTTTTAAACAAATTTCAACCATATAACTTGCTCTACAATTCATAAATTATAAGTATCCTATCTCAGCTGTATGATCCATGCCTTGAGTTGGCTACAATTTCAGATATTTAATGCTAACGAATCTTATGATATTGATTAAAAAAAAAAGATATATCCTAGTCACTATTCTACCAGCACTGATTAAAAAAATTTTAAAATACCATATTTTTCTAAAACAATATTGATAATATATTTCTCTCTATGATTTTTAATATATTTTAATATAATTTTGAATAAAAAAATTTAACTTTTAGTTTTTTAATCAAAACTCAACGAACTTATTAAAAAGAACAAAAAAAGTCAAAATTTTCATAAGGTCAATTAGCTAGACCCATCTATCTCTATATCTATCCATATCTATTGAAAATTAAGAGTGCAAACAAGGGCCGTGACCAGAGAGTATTATCAAATACATAAAATAAAAGATAGTTTTTTAATGGGTGTGTAAGGATGTAGAATTAAAATTTATATATAATGATTTCTATAAAAATTACAGAATTTAACGTATTAAAAATAAAACAATAATATTAAATTTTATTTTTATAAAAATTAATATTCAATATTTTAATTTTTAATAAAAGTTTCATTTAATTGTGTCTCCTCGAGAAAAATCGAATAAAAAATAAGCGCCTCCTTCGTGCTTACAGATTAGGCCATCTCACATCACATGGGATAGCAATGAGCAATTGTCGTGATTTTATTGGATCACCATAACACTCCAAAATAACAATAATGTCAACAAAAAAAAAATTCCAGATATAATAAAATGATCCCAGAAAATAAAAAAGCCAAGGTAGAGACGAATCAATCAATCATTCATTCGAGTACGATAAAGAATCCACCAATCACAACATTGCTAGCATACGAATTCAGAGATCAAAGAAACCAAACATAAAAATTTTGATTTTTGAGCAAGTTAGATTCAGAACCTCCTCCAAAAAATATCCCTTCGTATCTGTGTTTGAAACTCACTAAAACTCAGTTAAATTATATTTAAATGTAAAAATTATAATTTATAACGTTGAAATAGAGGGAGAAAAACATAGAGATTGGTGATTCCTTTATGGATCTGATAACAGAAGTATCAATGAAAGTTGATGAACTAAGTTCTAAAAGTTGGGTTACAAGTGAGAAAGATTCAAACTTTACAAAGTAGAAAGCAGTTTCACTCTTCAAAGAACCGAAAAACAAAAAGGGCAGTTTCGGAAGTTACAAAAGAGTTTGCAACAGTTGTACGTTGTAGCAATCAAACATAGAGAGATTAACACAACAACAGTAAATGCAGTGGAAAGTACCTTCGTTTTGTGGTATGAGTTGAGCGTTGGATCCAAAGCGTTGGAAGCAATTCAAAGCCAGGGACACAAAGATGAAGAACATAGACATGTGTTTGGAGCTTGACATAACAAAACGCCGCATCTTGGTTCTGTCGTCTAAGGCCACCTTAAATTTCCTTGGTTCTGAGACGGTGGCTTTCAGAGTAATTCAAGAAAGAAGAGAACAAGGAGAGTTGGTAAGATTATGTGTTGGAGGGAAAGATAATGTGAAAGTTTTCAAGGGACTCATTTTTATTTAACATAGCCAGAGAAAATTAGTGAGAAAGAAAATATTATATCCATGTTTTTGTACAACTTTTTCTTTTCCCAAATAATGTTAATACACCTTTAAATTATGATAATACTTATGCAATAATGGACTTTAAGCCCCTTTTTAAATAAAAGAAAAATATTCAATATTTTTATTTTTTATCATTTTTATTACTTTTTCCCTTTATCCTTATACTTCTTTTAGGTATAGACACCAATATTTTCCATTTGCATAATATTCTCACCTCTTTTGCCTTATTTCTCTCTTCATCTTTCTTATCATTTTGTTTTTCTGTTTCTCTTTTCTTTCTACTTCGTGTACCTTTAAAGTGAGTAGTATGACAAATATTATTAATAAAAAAAGTCTATTTTCGTGTTATTTTCACACAGAGAAGAGAAGGATTTTTATTTGTTAAATATTTAAAATGATAAATTTTAATTAAAAATATTTTATTTTTGTGTAATTTTTTTAATAAAATTTATTTTTAATTGTTTAAAATTAATCTCAAGGATTAATGGTAACATTTTAAGAAATTGTATTATTTATTTACTTTTGGGATTCAATTTTTGGTTTAGCTATTTCAAATCATATTTTTCTATAATTAAGAGAAAAACGAAAGAAAAAAATTAGAGAAATATAAGATAAAAATAGAATGTAATAAAACACATAAAGAAAAAATATAGTATAAAAATAGAATATATATATTAAAAAATTAACTTTGTCTTCAAATGAACGTGTCAACCCATGGTATTTCCTGGGCCAATTAGCAACAGCAACCGCCACCGGTTATTCAATTTTCACCTTTCATCAGTTCCAAATATTTTTGGTTGAATTAAAATTGTTGATTATTTACAGAAATTTCAAAAAATTATGAAAGTCCCTTAAAGAGACAAGTTGAATTTTTATGTTAATCAAAATTAATTTTTAGCAAGATTATTAACCTCCAATAATTTTGAAAAGAAGAACGAACTATTTAATCAAGAGGAAAAACAATTTCCTCAAAATAATGAATAAAATAATTTTCACACTTGTCATCTGTCAATATACATAGCTTTAAGATTGTGAGGCTTTTAACAAAGTAGTAGTCTTTATGCCATGCAACTTGACTTTGTTTGGGTTGCCTATACCTCGAACTTTGAATGCAATAATAAGACTTCATGGTTTTTGACCACTTGGATTTATATTTTGATATTTTAATTTTAATTACCAACAGAATTATAATTAATTTAAGACAAATGCTGACAGAGTCTTTAAATTATAGGTTAAGAAATAATAATGTATACTTCTTTTTAACAATTTATTATATTATGTCACTCCTTACATTTTCCACATCTTTCTTATTTTGTTTTTATTTCTATTAAAGTAATTTTGACTTCAAAATATTTTTTAAAATTAAAGCTATAACCATATTATTGCTTGATATATAAGAGGTATAATTGGATTTTTATATTTTATAAGTTATAATTGAATGTTTTTATTATTTGATATTTTTGTTATTTTATTTTATTTTATCATTATTTTACAAAATTTATGAATAATTAAATTTTTATAATTTATATTATTAACAATTAATTTGTATTTAATTAAAAAAATATTTTTTAATGTCTATATTTGTTTACTAAATTATATTAATTAATATAATAAATGTTGATATAATAAAATTAGAAAAATATTTTTAATCAATTCACAAAATTTTAAAAATGTTAAATTTATCATTAATTATTTTATTTTTATTTTATTTTTTTATTCATATGTTTATTATATATAAATTATATATATATATATATATATATATATAAAATATTTTACGTTTAAATTAAGAAAAAATTAAAACAATTTTTTTTACAAAAACTAAAACTAAAATTTAGTAATGTTACAAATACTAAAATCAGTTCTATATTTTTTATCAGTATGATTACATGAAACTCCACAAATCAATAATTAAAGGAAAATACAAACACATAAACCGATTTTATATATTTGACATTAATTGAATACTAAAATAGAAAAAAAATATAGAAACCAAAACTGAATTTTGTTAATTTTACAAGAACTAAAAATATATTATTGAGTATACAAATAATTTAAAATAATTAGTATGATAAATATTGCATACAAATGATTAAAAAAACTATCTTTTACATCTATAAGTTTTCTTAATTATTTAATAAAAAATTATTATATATTTTATTTTAAATATAATAAATATATATAATATTTCATTTAATACTTTATAAGATGATAACAAAAATATTGAAAAAATATTAGAAGGATAAAAAAAATTCGAATGTATACCAATCTTGATTTCCAAAACATTCTTAACATAATTTTAAATAATCTTCTTGTATTTTTTGAATCCTTAAAGCATTGGTTAGCAAAATTCATAGTTTAAAATTTTAAGTTTAATCTCAATTCTGTTATTTAGATATATGATTTAAAATTAAAATAAAACTAATTATGAATACTATCAAAATACTATTTAATAGCTAATAAGTATACAGTTAAATATAATCAGATAATTATTATTTTAAAATAATAATTTGATTGGGTTAATAAATTTTATTTTAGTTTTTCTATTTAACATCTAAAAATAATAATCCTATATGACATTGTATATATTTTTTTATTAAGTTTTTTTTTTCCACTTTTATACTGTATACTCAAAATACTAGTCAAGATTAAAAAAGACACCAAAAAAAAAAAAAAACCATCTCCCTTGAGATGTACAGCAAACATTTTCAATCGTATTTAGTTGATTTGCACACATCTAATCAAAAGTGACAAGAGTCCAGTTAGATTGAATTTGAAAAAAAAAAAGTTGATTAGATTATTCTAAGAAAAATGTTATGATTGACCCAATTTAAATTAATCAAATAATATATAATGATTAGTTTAGATTGGGTCGTTGAGTTATATGCAAATTAAAATATTTTAAGAATGTTCATTTAAAGAAATAAAAATGATAAAAAAAAGTCTACATTGATATTATTGTTACTTGAACTTGTGCCCACCTCCACCACAAATTCTTATTAAGGTATTTGCAAGGAATTAGAAATAGTTCATGTTAGTCATTTGGTAGTTCTTCATTAAATTATTGTCATTATTCTAAAATACATTTCAAATATAATTTTTTTATTAATGGGGTTAAATTTAACTTTGAACTCTAACTAATTTAATGCTCAAATTCTATATACAAAATAAGCACTTATATTATTTATTTTTAAATTCCTCCCTTTTTTTGCATTCAAGACTTTTAATTAAAAAAAAAATCAATTCATGTGAGATGTAAATATTCTTATAGCTTTATCTTTTAATAATTTTTAAATATTCAAAAATGTTAACTTAATCAACATGAACGGCGATGTTAAGACCAGAAAGAGTGGGAAAAGTACGAAAAAGAAAAGTAAAGAAGTTTGATTAAAATAAGAGTTTTGCACATCTTTTTTACTTATATTTTAATAATTTTATTGTTATTTGATAAATTAAATTTTAAATATATATATATATATAATTTCAAATTTATAAAATATATTTAATATGCTTTAATTTATAAATTATGAAAACTTGTACAAATAAACAGTAAGAGAAATTAAAATAGTAAATAATTTCCTTCATGTATCTCAAATGATACACAATAAAAAATTAATATTTAACATTATTAATATATTAAATTTTACAAATTTAAATAAATATATAAAAATTTATTATGTATCATTAAATGTTAAAAAAATCATAAAGTAAACATTAAAAATGGTTAATATATACGATGATGCTGGAGAAAGTTAGGAGATTGCAAATCATTATGCAATGTATTGTCAGGAATATTCTCAAGGAATTAAAAGGATCATTTTTATTATAAAGTTGTGTTAAAAATATGATAAAATTGTATTAATAACATTTTTAATGATCTTTTTAACAATATTTACACATTAGAAACTATAATAAAAAAATTGATAATCAACATGAACGTTTTTGTGTTGATTTAGTCTTCTAACATTTTTTTCATCTCAAGTTAGTCTCTTTTTATTACCCTATTTAATCTTGAAAAAAAAAATTATTGTGATAAACTGCAATTTGTGTTGGACCATTGACTTGTCTACTTTTGTGTATAAGCTACAATATGCAATAAAATTTTAAGACAAACATCATATGTTAATAATGAGTAAAAGCGCAAACAAATCTATTCAATCTATGCAAGATATAGAGGTTCTATAATTCAAGTAAAACCACTTAATTAGATCTCTCATTTTACTCAACAAGCAAGAACTTGATATATCGATTGCAACACAACAACTAAAAGAAACCTAAATCAGTTTCATTAATATTGAAAGAAAAAAATAGAGATAATCGAATTTGAAAAATATGACTAATCTTTATATTTTTAATCTCTCATTTAATTGATAAAATGACTTATTTTAAATTTTGGTCGTAATGCTGTGTTTAGAGCAACACTTTAATCGTTTCAACAATCACTTAACAAAATAGAGTTTTCGGTAAAATTTAATAGTGTTATAGTTAAAGGATTAATTGGCACTCTTAGAGCATTATAATTAGTTAGTATTTACTTTTAAAAAAACAATTATTCATCCTGCAACACATAATAAGAATACACACATATACTAAGGTTTTATTAAAAATACAGCAAGTTATATGATTCAATGTACTAAAAATATCAAATAATATGATTTTTAATAAAAAAAAAATTATTTATAAATTTTTTATTACATGCGTTTGGACACATGGAAAAAAAAAATACTAATCTCGATACTTAAAATTACGTTTAAATAATTAATAATAACTAAATCTTATTAAGAAAAAATTATCATGTTATTATGTCTTCAATAATGTTATAAAGAGAATGTTAATTTTAGTTCTTAGTGTTGATTTTAAATAATAAAATTTTATTAAAAATATTTATTATACTTTTAAATTTTTTATATTTAAACATAAATTGAATGTTGAAGTTAACAAAATAATATAATAAATATGTTGTTATATCTTCGTACTATTTCTGTTGACAAATTCTTCTATTCACGTAAAAGTGATACATGACTTTTTAAAGTTAGAAAAAGTTAATAACTTTTAAAAATACAATATTTTTTTGTAAATAAAAAATTACAAGTTAAAATAATAAAATGATAATAATTTTCATAAGAAATATTTAAAATATTTAAATTCTGTATTAAAAGTTGAAATTAATAAATTTAAAAAAATTCAACTTTTTATAAAAACACGATTAGAAAAACAGCACGTGTAACGTCACCGCGGATTGGAGAATCAGTGAGCAATGCATGGTA